CGGAGCAGTTTGGCATGGGAGTAAGACCTGCCATGCCACCTGTATACCGGAAGCCATATCCTGAATGGGTAGATAGGCTTCACCCATTTCAAGAGGATTCAGAGTTCCCGAGTTTGCCACATTCGTAAGGACTGGAGACCAGTCCACTGTAGAGCATGTTGGACGTTTTACGATCCAATGTGGGGATGTATGGGATCATAAAGTTAAGATTTTTCGGCAACTCGTTGACACGGCCATCTTTTGCTTGGTATGTAAACTTGTCTCGTGAAGTATGAGTCTCTTCTAAATGAGGAACAGAATCGTAGGAGTGCCTCGAGGGGATCATACTTCCCAAACTTAGACTATACCATCAATATGTTGGCCACGAGGCCAATGAGGTTGAGGTAGAATTGGCTGAGATAATTCCAGGGAAGCCATACGTCTGTGCATCCTTGTCTGAAATTGAAGGGGCTACAAGGGGGAAGACCCAACCGTGCACCCATTCAGCCGAGGAAGTACTCCTTTGATGTCTCAAAGGCAGACTTAATTTTTTACCAACTCTATAAGGATGGTCAAGTGACACGCCAAAACACAACACCAATCTGCGACCAAGTGTAATCGCAGACCGGGAATGCAGTAAAGTAGCAAGTTATATTATCAACCCGGGGTCTAGATCTACTGCTTACTCAGTGATTCTCTGTTATCTAGCCAACTAAAGTAAGTGATTGTTGTTTAAACTAAAAGCAGAAATAAAGCAGGAATTGATACGGTTTTCTTAAGCAGGAAAGAGTCACTCGGGAATGAGTCCCCCTAGCTCCTTAGTTAGGTTCAATTGCAATTTACCCTGGGTTGATTTACTGTCGATTAGACTGCGGAAGTTCCGGCAGTAGCTTGGAATCTCTTAAGCTGACCAAGCCCTCTCAGTCTAACTACCCGGCAGACGACTAGTCTTCACCGGGATAGAAAGCTGAAGCAGTAAGAACAGAACTCCACTATTGGAATTGGATTCCAGTACAAAGCAGTAAACTGGCTAACTCTCGTATAGCCAATCTCCTACTATCGAATGATGAGACTCTAGCAACCTAATCAGATTCTATCTATCTCAGATTGCAGCAGGAATCAGGAAAAGTTGATCAGACTTCAATTGACTCAATAAACATGCATCATTCGATTAAAATCAAACAGTAATATCATCCCAAGTCATTACAATCAATCCCCTAACACATAGAACTAGGGTTCTTCATCCCCAAGTGAGAGAGAGGCTCTACTCCATAGAGAGAGAGAAGAAAACAGTAATCGGAGTAGTCATACTCATAATGATGAGGAAAATCTGCTCCGTGATGATGATTTCCACTCCTAGGACGATCTCCAAGCTTGATTTGATGAAACCCAGCTCCAAGATGGCTTCTAGGGTGAGTTCTTCGCACTTTCTCTCTCTAGGGCTCTGTTTTTGCTCAAGAAATTCGATTTTCTCTCTTGCAGCCCGGAATTGGGTTAAAACCAGGAAATCCCGACTCACACGGGCAGGGCCACACGACCGTGTGGCATACCCAGTTGCCCGTGTGAGTCAAAACGCTGCGTTGCACTTAGTTCGATCTTCAGGCTTCTCACACGGCCAGAGTGGCACGGCCGTGTTTGATTTCCATCTGCCCGTGTCTGCTCTCGGCAAAAGTCACACGGCCAGACCACTTCTGCACACGGCCGTGTGCTTTGTCAGGGCAGGCCGTGTTTGCTCTCGGCAAAACTCGCACGGCCAGAAATATGAGTTGCACGGCCGTGTTATTTGTGGGTGTGCCCGTGTGGCCTCCTTTGTGACTTGCCTCGCGCCCGATCTTCGTCCAATCGACCCCAAACTCGCTCCCGAGCCTCCATTCACGTACTAGGACCTGAAATATCACAAACAAGCACAACCTAGCGTGAAATCGGCCTAAAACGCGAGAAATCACATCTCAAACGGTGTAAGAACAGGGGTAAAAACATGTGTAATTAACGGTCTATCATCAAGTCAAGTTGACAGGGGGCATGTCTTTCCCTCACTCGAGAAGTTAAATGGGAAGAAGTATTGTAAGTGTCATAATAGCATGTCACATTCCATTGATTCTTGTTTAGTGTTCCGTAATGTCTTGCAGGATGCCATTGAAAAGGGACACATCAAGTTCCCTTAGGCAAATAAGGATGCCATGTTGGTGGGCACTGTTACGTTCCCCAAGGTGCTTGGCGTCAACATGGTCAACCCAGACTCCTCCAAAGTCGAGTTGTCATGCTTCAAGCTGGTGTTGGATACAACGCCGCCTCGAAGGAGCCCCAACGTGGTTTTCGAGCAAAGGAGCGCGTCGGGTACCAAATAGGCTAGCCCGGCCGCAATGATGAATGAAGAAGTTGAAAAGTTGTGTGCTCGATCCAAGAAGAGTCTCAAGATTGGCGAAGAGAAGTCGAGATGTCCATCTTGGGGGCAGGTGGTGCCCAAGATGCCACATCAACCCAAAGCCATACATACTGGTGATAAACATGATAATAGGACTAAGATGGACAAGGGGTCATGCCACCAATTATAAGCAGTGGACATGGGGACAAGTCCAACAAGGAAAGACATGAGAGCATGTCACCCACCATGAATAATGGAGTAGAGGGCATCTCCAAGAAGACATAACTAGCAATATCCGCACATGAATTTTGTGAGCGTGAGATCATGGACAAGGGTGGACATGGGGGAATGTGTAAGAAGTCAACATACACACCAACTAAACATGGTTGTAGAAAGAACCTACGGTGGTTGAGTGCTAAGTGTAGGGCCAAAAAGGTTTAGATCTTGAAAAACATAGTCAAGCGGGCCATATAGGTGGCAGTCGACTTGGTAAACCTGGACATGGTCTCCAACCACATAAAGAGACTAAGCATGTATCAACAAGGAGGCAACCAAGGCAGAGAAACAAACACGATTGCCTGTCAAGTAAAGTGGCCCAGGCAAATAAGCATGAGATCTCATGCAAAGCCACCAGGACAAGACATGTCAACCGTGTACGTAAGATGAAAAGTTCAAAATCAATGTATGGAGAGTTAACTCCCATGAAGTACAAGAGTCATGTGGTCTATGGATGGCTTGCTTGTTTTAATCAATGGACTTGGCATTGGGTGTACACCTTTGGCGCATTAGTTGTTGTCAAAGACGATGGAGAGTAGTGACTTCTGTCACTCCTTGCCATAAATAAATAAATAATATATATATTAATCAATACGAAAATAGCCAATCATCGCTAAAAAAGATAGAGAGAAAATATCAAAGTGAAAATTTGAATCGGATTGTTAGACTTTGATGTGAAAATTTCGCCACCGATTCGTTGTGATGACTTGGTATGCCGAGTCATCAAGTCATGCCATGCCATGTTGTCTTGTCCCAGGTAGGGGGCATGATTATTGGGAAAATGGCAATGTGTGGTTTTGAGTCAAATTGAAGAGGGTTTGAGTGAGAGTGGATAATATTTTTTTATAAAAAGTTAGAATTTGGCTAAGTACAAAAGAAGTAGACGACTTGAATTGTCCTGAGGGAGTTGTCTAGCCTTGTGACGAGGTGAAATGAACCAATCTATGACAAATGAGCCAATCTATTTTCTCAACCATGTGGCAAAGTACAGATGTCAATGAGGGTGTACGTGATAAAGTGAGGTTGGTGTCTTGTTGAAGGCATTAGGTGACTTTATGATTGAGAGCCAAAATTTGGCTAATGCATGGAATAAGTTTTGGCGAAGAGTTCCATCCGACCACGTTGGCTTGATCATTGAGAGCCAAAATTTGGCTAAGGCATGGAACAAGCTTTGACAACGAGTTTCATCAGGCCATGTTGGCTTGATAATTGAAAGCCAAAATTTAGCTAAGGCATGAGACAAGCTTTAACGGGGAGTTCCATCCCGCCTTGTTAGCTTGACATGACGTCCAAATTTTAACTAAGGCATGGGCTAAGCTTTGACGTCTAGTTCCATCTAGTCGTGTTGGCTAGATGTGATAGCCAAAATTTTGGCTAAGTAAAATTTGTGTGTTGATAAGCTAGCACGTTACTTGGCTAGCATAGTTGGTGTCAACTGCTAAGTCCATAATTCCTATACACTAAGTAGTTGGGGGGCATTTGTTTACACCTAAAAAATAATCGTGTACCACATTGATTATTTACAAGGTATTTATTATCTTTATAAGGCCAGATCATTAATGACAATTAATGTTATTTGAAATGGGCCTCATGATATTAATTTTTAAGCTCAAACCACTAAGTCTCCAGGAAGGAGCTAGTCTCGTCGCGAGTCTGGTAGCCCGACATGGTCGCGAGATCTAGACCATGTCGGCATCAAGCCTACTAGCCCGACATGGTCGCGAGATCTAGACCGCGTTGTCATCAAGCCTAATAGCCCGACGTGGTCGCGAGATCTAGACCGCGTCGGCGTCAAGACTAATATCCCGACATGGTCGGGAGATCTAGAACGCGTCGGCGTCAAGTCCGCTACACCGATGTGGTCACAAGATCTAGACAACGTTGGTATCAAGCCTACTAGCCCGACGTGGTCACGAGATCTAGACCACGTTGGCGTCAAGCATAGTAGAGCCCGACGTGGTCACGAGATCTAGACCACATTGGCGTCAAATCCGCTACACCGATGTGGTCACGAGATCTTGACCACGTTGGCATCAAGTGCGCTACACCGATGTGGTTGCGAGATCCAGACCATGTTGACGTCAAGTTCGATAGACCAAGGTGGTCTAGAAAGTTGGAGGTAAGGAAGCAGGCCATGTGGGAGAGGAAAGCCACAAAGACGTCAGTTCTAAGAGAGAGAGAGAGAGAGCGAAGGCGGTTAACAGAGCAGCTATTGATTATTCCACGTGCAAGGACGCGTCAGCCACATCCAAGGGAGAAGGGGAGCAGTTCTTTTTGGAAGTTACTCTCTATGCGATTTTTCTACGACGGTTACCACTTCAAAGCTATAAATAAGAGGAGGAGTTAACAGAGAAAGGGTTCACCAAATTCACACTAGACAATACAATGTCAAATTTTAATGTAGATTTCTGTCTCGTAAGTCGTTTAAATATCGAACACCCTCATTCGAACTTTGTTTGAAGAGGTGTGAGCCGTGTTTTAGTGATCGTTGTCCAAAGAAGTCAAGGTGCAATCAATTCGATTTCAACGCTAGTTTTCTCGCCAAAAACAGAAACGGTAACTACATCCAAAGAATTTGAGAACTTGAACAGAACTGAGATCCATTTTGCTTAATTATACAGGAATAGCAGAACAAACACAACGGGGCTGGCTAGCTAGCTGCCATCCAAATCCAAAAAAAGAGAAGCTCTTTTATACGGGTTGCAATACACACACATACATGATACAATAGAACAACAGCTGGTGATTTTTCACCATCTGCAGGGATCCATATATACAGTGTATTATTGGAATCTTACAACTATGCAAGATATGTCGTCCTTGCTCTTCCTCGAAAGGGCCTCGTCGATCAGGTGCTTCGCTGCTAATTGAGGATCCTTTATTGCCTTGATGGAGTCCACTGCCACTTCATTCGACATCACCTGCAAACACTATCCAAGGTTTGAGGATTTGTATGAATTGCCGAACTAACAAATGTATTAAGCTGGTGACCATTTTGCATCAAGATCAATGTTGGTGAGGAACATATATAATAGGTAAAGAGAAACTGAACTGGCCTTCCAAATGCCATCACTTGCTAGAATGATGAACTCGGCTTCATCATCCACTGCCTCCTCGGACACGTCAGGTTCCGAGCTGAGGTGTATCTTCAAGCTCTTGTCGCCAAATGCCCTGGCCACTGCCAACTGTCCGTCGACACGTGGAACGTCCCCTGCAACCAAATGATAGGCCAAGTTGTTATCACCTCTCTTGGCTGTGCCAAATTTGATTCACGATATCTAGGGACAGCTGCATACCAGGAATGTTTGATACGAAACCACCCCGACTTTCGATCATTCGCTTCTCTTTGCTCGGTTCATGATCGACCGACAGTTGTTTGGGGAGGCCATTCCTGCATAGCACAGCCCTGGAGTCTCCCACATTTGCCACTACAAGCTTCTCGCCATCGATCAAAATTGCTGTAACAGCAGTGGATCCTCCTTTGCCCAAGGTGAGCGCTTTCCCCAGTATTTCCTCGTCTGTTTTCTTATATGCATTCCTTATTGCACTCTCTGTGTCAGTCCAGAAGTCTTTCTGCTTTGCAATTTACACAGCAATAAAGTAATTAAAAACAACAAGCCACTAATTCGGCACAGTTTCAATATGGATAGATAAGGAACAATTAGAATCAAGATGATCGTACCTCTTTCAAGATATTATCAAACAAGTGGTTTTGCAAGTAATTTGCGACATCATGGCCCAAATGGCCATCAAATATTGCAAACAAACCAAGGTCATGGTTGTGTACATGTTTGAGATCAGAAACTACATAGTCTTCCATAGCATGATGTGATTTCCCCTTCACCAGGTGAGAGCCATAAGTAACATGGTTTGACACTTTGCCTTTACCTTTCACTGTTGCTTCAGATCCAGATGCACATTGTATCGCTTTAACCTAAGAAAACCCAATTAACCAGAAAACAATCAATCCCTTATCCAGTTATCCCTATTACCAGGTAAATAGTATACATCCGCAAGTCCATTACCAGTGACCATTGCAATGGGCAGAAGAAGCTTCAAAAGCTTTACTTGCCTGATATCCTGCATGATCACCCATTTTTCCAGGAACACACAAGAACAAGTTTTCTTGTGATTTCTGATTTGGTCTCTTATTAAAGCAACTAAATAGATAGATGTTACCCAACAAGCTCATTGAATGACTAACTGAAAAAGGAATAGGTTAATGGCAGCCGAGAACGAAATAAATGTGTAAATGAGCTTTTCTACCAGTACTCTAAAGTTACTTCTAATAAAGAAACTACTCTCTAGTTTTCAACTAAACCACACAGGTTGAATCAAAACAGTCAAGTTTTCATCACCTTTCACATATCAGGGCAAAAGAGAACTACTACACCAGCCATTCAGCTGAAATTTTATGAGTAGGAGTCAGAATCTGAACATGAACAGCAAGTCAAAGAAAGTTGCTATCCGCCTGTCAACAACTACTACCCGATCCGATTCATGTTACCATTCCTCTCCTCTCTCTTTGTTTCCATAACCCAAAATTTCAATTAGCTGGAAACCAGCAGTAAGAAGTTTTACCAACAATTACAACTTCAACCGACAACTGGAAACAAGTTCAGAGATTTGGTGAAAGACATACGTATTGAACTACAATAAGCTACTCACAGTTCTCCAAGTGTATAAGCGATTCATTAACATGAAATCAAACAACCCAAGATGAACTTTGAGATCCTTTTCCATTATGGTTACCATTTCGATTTTGAGCCAGAACAGAGCACAGTTTCATGGGAAGAAAAGACAAAAAGATAGAGAATGAAGCCCATAATAGTAAGTTGACTTTGGCGAACTGACCTTCATTTTGTGGAGGATTTCTCTGCCTGTCATGGTGTGTCCGATTAAGTTTAGAGAGACGAAAGAGGCTTGGATTAGAGAGAGAGAGAGAGAGAGAGAGAGCAGAAGGAAGAATAATTTGTTCAAGAAGAGGTAAAACAAAGGCGCTGGATGGAGAGATCAATAAATATATAGGCGGGGAAAGGGCAGATTGGGTTTGTTTAACTAGAACAACACGACAACACGTGAATTCCCGGTTTCTTTAAATACTGCCTAATTATATTTGCTTTCCTCTCATTTTCCCGCTTTATGTTTTGTGTTTTTTTGCCTTTCTCCCATTTTCTTCCCTTTCCCTTTTTATTTAAAAACAAAAGCAACAGCCTCTCACGACGCGTTCTTGCCGACGACTTTTCATTTCTGCCATCCAACCCACAATGATATATGCCGATAGACAGATTCATCCCTCAGTTTTCTGGTACCTTTCTTTAAAGTTTAACAATAAGAATGCGCTCGAGTTGGTGTAAAGTGACATTTTTCATGTTTTCGCGTTTGATCACTCAGGAAAAAAAATGAGGAGAAAGATGATTTTTTTCATCAAGCACATCAACTACTTACTACTACGCAGCCAGTTGACAACGTATAATCCTTTGATCATTCAAGGTAACAAAATGATAGCGGTCTAATCTATTCAATGATAATATACACCTATTCTATGCTAAAGTACAGAGAAGAATTTATAAATCAGTAAGCTAGCCATTAAGAATTTCAATTCTCAAGTGTCAAAAAAGTGATTAATTCGTGGAGAATTACCGAGCTAAAAATGGTTAATTGTGAAAACAGTGTCATGATACCTATTTGGAGGCTTGTACATTCATCTTGTAAGAGAATCGATGGGAGATTGGAGTTGGACATCAATTATGAGTTCAATTCTAGATTGTAAAGGGGTTGGATGAGAATTCCACGACAGTAAAATAGAAGTCTAGATAGTGGGTTTTGAACAGTAGCATTCCACGAACACAAGCATCAATTCCAAGACCGTGGAGTTGGAGGACTACCAAGGAAATTTGCCTGACGAGTTAAAAATTATCTTTTGTGTTTGAGATTCTTTTCCTTTTCGAGTTTTTGATTAGTTTTTATTTCTTTGACCTATATAAAGTCTTAAACACGAGTTTTAGGTTAGACTTTGATGAATATTGATATTTCCTTTGTAGGTTTAGCCTTGAGAATTTTCTGCTCTGTATCAATTAAGTTTTCCCCTTGATTGTGGTTGAGCTTCTACTTTTTATATCGTTAGAGCCTTCTCCAATCTTGTGCTAAGATTGCACTTTTAATTCCATCTTATTACAAATAAACAAACTATAAAAATCTCTTTTCTTTTTCTTTGTTGAAGTTGGGTTACTTTGATAACTACTAGCGTGGGTTCTGTGCTCGTATGAATACTTTAGGGTTTATTCTTCCCATAATACGGCTGAATGACAGAACGATAGTTTATATAGCAGTCTAACCCTAATTGACGAAGGAAACTAAAGTAAATAATAATAATAATAACAATAACAATAATAATTGTTGATGCAAGGCTCCGAGGAGCCTACTTCAATGTGATTAAGCTCCGGTGAGCGTCGATCTTCCTCCTGGCCAACGTCCGCCGCCAGCCTCCGAGATGGACACATGCAAAAGAGGAACCCGCCGACGGTGGTCGTCGGGGACCTTCTCCGAAGCTCAAGTTAGTATTTAAGAGGAGAGTAACCCGGAGCGGCATAGTAAGTCAGCTATAGAGAGATTAAGAAATTCTGAAAAATCAACTGCCGAGAAAATATAGTTGATTGTCTTATTTATAGGTACCTCCTGCTTCTGACGTGGATGGCGTGTGAAGAATATATAAATCTATCTACTAACCCTAAGTACAATGGATGGTCGGGTAAAGAAAGATAATTATCTCCACCAATATGATTATGTGCAATGCTCATGTACACATGTAGAGTAGAGTGGATGGTGGTAAATAAGGGTGGAAATCGGTATGGTATCGGTATCCCAATACCAAATACCAAAATCTCGAATACCGAATTATACCCTAAAATAAATCCCAATCCCTAAATAATTTCGGTATCCCAATCGGTATTATCGAATACATAATTAATTACCTTTGCAATTAATAATTAAATATATAAATTAGATTTTATTATTTAATTTACGGCAAAGAGACTAAGCAAATAGTCTTGAGTTGCCTAGAGCTAACATCTCAAGTTCTTGTAATTGGTCTTGAGTTGCCTAGACTAATCAAACTCGGTCCTGATACAAAACTCGTCGTAGCGGTCTTGGGAAACGATGGTGGGGAACAACTTAGGAGTTAGGATTCCTGACTCGCTATGACACAACTCCTAACAATGGCCAAGTGTAACCAATGAAAGGGACTGTAGTATAGTGGCTCAAGTAATAAATATCGAATAGAGTTACTATTACTCAGCTTCAGATCATTACCTAGCAAACCATATTAAGATGGAAGAACTAAAACTACTCTAACAAACTACAGTTAAAGTTAATCTAATTACAGGCTGGGAACTCACTTAGGTATGATTCCCCCTAGCCACTAGCCAGATTAATGATTTCTAACTTGTTTCACTTTCATTCACAATGCGGAGAATCTTTGACTAGACCTTGAATCTCGACTAAAGGATCAAGGCCTCTTGAGTCGATTGCCTAGAGGGACATATCCTTCTCTAGAACAACCGATCAAGGCATTTTGAACTAGACTCCCTCTATCGAATGAGGTTCTCAATCGATACAAAGCAGTGAATCGACCCTCGACTAAAGCAATCGATCCAATACTATCAATCTATGGTGCTCTATTGACCTAATCAGGTATTCGCTCTCATAGGATCAAAGTAGAATCAATAATCTCGACTAAAGCAGAATTCAATCATGAAAATGTGCATAGATTGAATATGAACTCAAGATTATCAAGTAGGAATACTCATACAATCATCCAATCAAACAAACATAGCTAGGGTTCCTCAAAACCTAAGTGAAGGTAAGTTACTCCATAGAGAAGAGAGAGACACTAGTAAGAATCTTCAAATGATTAGTCTTCAAGTCCAAGCTTGTTCCTCGAGCTTCCAAGGCGAAGAAATCCTCCAATTCAACTCCAAGAATGCCCTCAAATTGCCCTCTCTCTCTCTCTCTCTTTGGTTCGTCCCTTGGGTGTTTGGGATCCAAAACCCAGCTCTCCCCCTCAAAAAAACGCAAAAAATAGGCTTTTAACAGCTTGCGTTCGCGACCCGGTCCGGTATTTTGGGTACCCGACCGGGTATTTTTGGTTCACAACCGGAGGGGGCTTCTGATTGTGTCAAAAATACCCTATCAGATGGTCAAAATACCCGGTCGGGTATTTTGCAGTTCTGGGTCCCCTATCTTTGATTCTTCGTATATCCCTCGTTCGGATTCCAAATCAGGTGCCGCTTGATCCCAGACGCTCGTAGTCTCGTCCTCTTTCTTCTCATGACAAGCTTACATGATTATATGGTCACAAACTGAGTTATAAATCAATTCTTCTTCAAGTCATACCCGAGTTTCTTCCCCCGAGTCGTCAATTGATCTCCAATTGACTTGAAACTTGCGCCTACGCTTCACTTTATGTGCTAGGACCTGAAATATGACAAAGGAACAAAAACTAGCGTAAAATAGGCCAAAGAATCGATAATGAAAGCTTAAACGATCAAGAAACAGAGGGGAAAAGATGTGCAAATATCAAGTCATCAAATCCCCCAACACTTAACTGTTTGCTTGTCCCCAAGCAAACCTAACTCAAACCAATGCAGCTCTCTAGAACTCTATAGAAACATGCACCCTCGATCGTTGATAGAGGATTTTCTAGATCATTTAGCAGCTTACGAGGTCAACTGACGCACAGAATCTCAAAGCTTCTTCGGCGAGAACGCTAGTCTCGAGTCGGCATCGTGACAAATAGTGATCAGAGGACAAATGAATCGTGGACGAATGGACTATAAAAAACAAAAGATCATGGACTCGCATTTTTAAGGTGCTCTATTTTCTTCTTGAAGATGGTTGGAACCCCTTTCCTTTCTTCACAATATGAAGAAGAAAGGAGACTTCTTAAATGCATCAACATCCTCCATAGTGCTACACTACCTCCATAGGTTGCACATTACTATAGAGATTGTCAATTCAAAGCATATTGAACAGGCAATTTCAAGGAACACGTACTCTAGGAGCCCTCAAATCGAAATTTGGACAGTGGACTAGGCTCCAAGAACACACATACAGCCAAACATTTACAAGCATACATAATCGAACATCCCCCCACACTTTAGCACGACATTGTCCTCAATGGAGGAAAGATAAGGAGGATAGAACGAAGTTACCATATCAAGGGTGAATGATGGTGGACGGGGCAGGCGATGCATTCCAGGAGGAGAGATTAGTCGGAACACAAACACCACACGAAATCTCACAAAGGTTGAGTTATTGACTCTAAAATCAAAGAAGAAAACTGACTCAATCGAGGAGAAATAGAGAAAGAAATGCAAACCGACTGGTAGGGTTGCCTCCCAACAACCGCTTCTTTCACGTCGTGAGCCTAACGATTGCTTCTAAGTTTCGGTCCACCCCAAAACCTCTTTGAAGTTGAGGTTCTCGTCGATGAGGTGGAGTCTCAAGTCACGAACAAGTGGTATGACAGGTGATGGAAGCTCGTGCACTTGATGCAGATAAAGTCTCCACCCTCTAGACCTCTTCTTTTCTTCTCTCGTCTCATTGCCCCAAACTAGATATGACAACATCGATTGACCACCATCGCGTCCACCAAAGGGACCGATGTCGATGTGGCATTGGTCTGGCAAAGAGACACTGCAAATGGGTCCTTGCTATGTAGTTCCTCAAAGTTTGGTGGGGATATTACTTGCAACATAAGGCCGGTGCAAGCCTCTTCCACCTCAACTTCGTCCCCAGCATGGACGCCAATTGCTTCTTCAACCCCCCCCCCCCTTCCTTCTTCAGAATTTAATTCCTCCCTTCGGAAAACATCAAGAACTTCCTCTAATTCACTTCCGTCATCCTCCACAACTTCTTTCCTCATCCTTTCTCGCTCTTTTTCTTCTAGCACGGATTGGAGAGCAAGTTGCAAAGCAATTTCTTTCATGAGATCATCTTGCATCTCTTTGCTCATGCCCACCTCTTCAAAGCTCGGTGTGGGATGTGGGAAGGTGTGGTCGGCTACAACAGGACATTCTTGATCATGATATTCACAAAAGCTCTCAGTGACAACTTCTGTTTGCTCCACAATGTCCTTGTAGCCTTCGTCTTCCTCCTCCTCTTATAGTATGGTAGCAGAAGGGTGATCTTGAGCAAGTTGTGCACAAACTTGCTTAACCCGCTCTGTTTTCTTTGCTGAGTGCGAAACAGTCTTCTCCGATTCACGAAGGGATGAAATGTTAGGAGGAGCAACATATGGGAAAATGAGGTCCATCTTGTGATTGCGTCTCTCGCTGTCCCGAGCAAACTGCTCAACGAGAAGCCTCAATTCGTAGTTTGGATCTGGTCATGGAGTGTAGCATGGCTTTGCAGAATGGCACGTGAAGGCCGCCATGCCTAACTCCAGCTCCGATGACCCTTCTGGTTGTGGGAGGAATTCTTCTTCATAATGTTGTCAAAAATACCCTATCAGACGGTCAAAATACCGGGTCTGGTATTTTGGTCGGGTATTTTGCAGTTCCGGGTCCCCTATCTTTGATTCTTCGTTTCTCCTTCGTTCGGACTCCAAATCAGGTGCCATTTGATCCCAGACGCTGTTGGTTTTGTCCTCTTTATTCTCATGACAAGATTACATGATTCTATGGTCACAAACTAAGGTAGAAATCCATTCTTCTTCAAGTCATACCCGAGTTTCTTCCCCCGAGTCGCCAATTGATCTCTAATTGACTTGAAACTTGCGCCTACGCTTCACTTTATGTGCTAAGACCTGAAATGTGACAAAGGAACAAAACCTAGCATAAAATAGGCCAAAGAAGTGATAATGCAAGCTTAAACGATCAAGAAACAGAGGGGAAAACATGTGCAAATATCAAGTCATCAATTCCGCCGACAGTATTTCGAGATGGGCTACAAAATGGTGGAAAATGCGATTATTTGTGCAAAAATCCATAGACGAAAACCTAGCGAACAATAACAAAACACTAAAGAGGATGAAACTTGGTCCATATTCCAAACTCGTGGTAGCGGCCTTGGGAAACGATGATGGGTATCAACTTAGGATTCAGTCGACAGTATTTCGAGATGGGCAGCAAAATGGTGGGCAAAGGCAATGGTTTTTGTTCAAGTTAAGATACCCATGTGTTTGGGTTTAATTGTGATCATGCTCAACAAAAAGGAAAGAACGAAAGAAAAAACACTAAAGAGGATGAAACTCGGTTCTGATACCAAAATTGTGTTAGCGGCCTTGGAAAATGGTGGTGGAAAACAACTTAGGATTCCGCCGACAGTATTTCGAGATGGGCTGCAAAATGGTGGGCAAAGGAGATGATTTGTGGAAAATGTCATAGATGAAAACCTAGTGAACAATAACTAAACACAAATGTGATGATTGTGCCAAAAACCATATACGAAAACCTATAACAAAACACAAAGGCGATGATTTGTGCAAAAAAACCATAGACGAAAAGTTAGTGAATAATAACTAAACACAAAGGTTGTAGAATGGAGAGTGGGATAAAAGAAGGACTTGGTACTTCCCCACTTGCACTTGGAGGAGTGTGAGAGCCACTAATAAATAGTAACTCAAACCTAGGCTTTTATATATTAATAATAGCGGACGCTAGTGGTGAGACCAAAACCAGAAGCTTTTGCGATTCTTCATCACCTGATGTCGTCAAGCCGGGAATCACAATGACTACATCATCTTTCTCGCCCTTCACCAACTCAGCAACGAATTCAAAGATGACAATGGTGGAAGAGGTGATTATTCATGGACGTTGTGATGGAGATCTTCCCACCATTACCCTCCCCTTCGGTGGTTAGGGTTTCGACTTGTGGTGGCGGCACGGTGAGAGACATGGGCGACATCGATAGTGAAGGTGGTGCGCCCTCCATGGTAGCAACTACGTCTTCTCCCTCGTTCTCCACCACATTCGCTACAGCTTCATCTTGTGCCGGCGGTGGCTTGGATTCAGGACAAGCATCTACGATCCTTCCACGAGTAGCCATCACACTTTCAGTCAACTGATCCTCTTCTCACAGCCTGCGGAGATGCCTTCCCAGATCTAGTTCAATCGATTGAGAATTTCCTGCATCAAAAGGACCTTTGGGTCCATCTTAATCGAATCTCGGATCAGCCGCTATGATACCAATTGATAAATGTATAATCTATTCTACACTAAACTCACAAAAAAAAAACATATACTTTAGTGTTATTCTTTGCATAATATGACCAAATGACATAACGATAGTTTATATAATAAGCTAACCCTAATAGACTAAGGACAATAATGCAAATAATAACAATAGAATTAATAAGGTAACTGCGTAGAATCATACACACATCACAAAACAGAGCTAAACAAGCCACCGAATAGGCCTCTCTGTTATCATCTCATCCAATAAAGTGGAGGGTGCAACCTTGGCGAATCCAGAAAAGAAAAAATTTATTGAGTAACTGTCCATGCTTTTGCATATTGAGTATCTCAAACCCTACACTTGTCCTAAACCACCTTGCAAAATCCCCATAGATTGACACATTAAGAAGCCCCCGACGATGAAAATCAAGCAAAAATCTGTAGGTCAAAAAGCACCAGTAATACCAAATTCTTCGTCGGAATTAGCTCGATCAATGTAAGTTATATTGGATCTCCCAAACTTGTTGTCCCTTGATTATTCACTCCCCTTAAACTAATATCCCCCTACTGGTCTCAAAATGTTCGCTCCGTCAAAGAGAATTCCCTCATATGCCTCTCAAGACTTGATGACCCTATTAATTTGTGTTGAAATCAGATCGCTCAATTAGTACGATATTGTCCATTTTGGATCAATTTCTCACATAATTACTTTTGGGTTTCCTCCCCAAAAGGATTTATACTAAATAATTTAGGACGCTAGTATGCAAGGGTGTGTTGCCTTGTATGTCTCGTAACAATCTTTCCTAAGACAAGGACCACAAACTTCGTGTCCTCTCCTCATCGATTATGTTGATTCACCAAACACCTTGTATCTATAATTCTTTGACATAAGATTTGTCATATGTAGATAACTTTGATCTACCAGATAGTCGCATATCTCTTTTGATCCGCTAAACAGAACAATATCTCCTTTAATTCACCAAATAAATGCAAATATCCTTTGATCTGCAGACAAGACGTAGACCTTCTTTCATTCGTCAGAAAAATACAGATCTAAAATTCCAAAGTCAATGAATGATATTCCATCAAATTGACGTCTGTCGCCCTGGACCAAATCCAAACCAGGCTAGCTATGATCTTTCCGTTAGCGATTATGTTGGTATCTCAAACACCTTGTATCAATAGGCTCTTTGACACAAGGATTTACCAGATTAAGATTTTCCTTGATACACCATAGAAACGCAAATCTCCAATTGATCCACCAAAAACACTAGGATCTAAAATCTCGAGATCACCAAATGAGGTTCGACCAAATTGACATCCAGCGCCATGGATCCAAACCATGCTCTGCTGTCACTTGTTGAAATCGGGTAGCTCCATTAGTATAATATTTTTTGTAGTTGGCCAAGCCTGCAAGGAATTACTTTTGGGTATCCTCCTCAAAAAGTCCCATACTTATGAGAGTGGAAACTAATATATTCAACATTGAGGAGAAAACTTCACTCCCCCACACTTGTTTTCCAAACTAAGTGACAAGAAGACATAATCTTTTGACAAGGACGGAGTACCACCAAATAACACTACAGGAAAACTGGTTTCTAGTCACAGGATCTTATTCACGGTAATGTTTCTCGTACTAAGAAGTATGCTGATAGTCACAGTAATAGTTTCCGTATTTGATTGTATAGTTCTAATCACGGTAATTAATTTATCTATTTTCTAGTCTACATTTCCCGTGATTAATTGTTAGTTACGGTTAGTACCGTGAACAATGTGACAATTACTTAAAAAAAACAATTTCAAATTTTAGGAGGGAGAATTTCCTTTAGCTAAAAAATTTGCTTTGGTTCCAAAAAATTGATTTCCCCCAAACAATTTGCTTTGGCTCCAAAAATTTAGTTTGCCTCCAAAAAATTTGCTTTGGCTAAAAAAACCCTCCAACAGCAAAAAAAACCCAGCCATTCTGTATCATTTTTTAGAAGAGCTAAACCCATTTTGGCTCCAAAATTTTACTTTGGCCCGCCACTTTTTTTTTGGCTCTCTCAAATCGAAAAATAATCGTACGATACGAGCGGGAGAAAACTCGATCTAAAGAAAAGTAAAGAAAGCCTCTCTTTCCCTCTTTCTATCGCTCACTCCTGCTTCTTTCCCCATCCCGACTAGTTCCTTCTCCTTCCCCAACTCCTGGTGCCAAAACCCTTCTCTCCATTCTTCTACTTTCCCTTTTGTTTGTTTAGCTAAAGAATGGAAACAAACCTCATTTTCTTAGCCAATCAGATCCACCCCAAATTCCGCCATCGCCCTGCTCTTTTCAATGCCTCTTCCCGGCCCATATCACTTTCCTTCATAAAAAAATCCCTAGCTCACAATTCCTTATCCCTCCACTTCTCCGAAATCAAGACCCAAGTTCTAGCTTGCCTCCGTAGCTAAAGAATCTCTTGCTCAGCTACAACATATCTGTCGACTTTCGAGCGTAATCTTGCCTCCCTCACTTCGCCATCAGAGATGATGCACAGCGCCTGGTCAGATCTTTCAGAATACCGACGATGATGACAATCCCAATGACCTCATGTTTCATGATACTGCATCTCGTATATCTCTTTCCTGCACTAGTGGTGCTCGCTGGATCGCTGATATATACTTCTGATGCCGTCTTCCATCGCGAAACAGATCAATGGGGAGGCATGCTCTAACGAGGTACTTCAATAATCCGCTTTCTCCATCTCCATTGTAGTTCTAATGGAGGCCATGGATTTTTGGCAGTTCAACGACCCGAAGTGGCGAAAGAAAAAGGATCCTACGATGCATGGTCTCTTTTAGTCTGAGACTTAAGGTTCTTGAGCAGTAGAGGTATGTAATTTGAAAAAAAAAATTCTCGATTGGATAAAGTCTAATACTGTAAAGTTGGATGTAATTGAGCTAAGCCTTGAAGGGATCAGTATAAATCGTTGAAAGGAGGCCTTTGCTTTTAGGGAACAAAGGTTTCTCTTTGAATTGGATGAAGTTATTCATTCAATTCTTTTTTCTATTTTAGATTTGTTCAGTTGTTGAATGTTGCGTTATTGATTTTGGAGCAGGGCCTCTGTAGATTAAAACAAGAGGCTGATAGTGTTCCTTGTAAGAGGGGTCATGTGTGGTTAAGATTGAAGACCTCAATGCTTGTTACCTTTCTGGGCGTTTGGTAAGAACTGGTAATGTGAAACTTCATGTTTTCTCTGTCATTTTGGATGGATGTGTAAGTCTTCATCTCAAGTCTCATGCTATTGAGCTTTGATTACGCTCATCCATATACTATGACAAATAAGGATACATTTTAAGTGGTGATATTTTTGCCTTACCTTCTTGCGGCTTTTGGTATCCAATCATAGATTAACTTACTTGTTGCAGGCTTAGGAAGTCAGGTTTAGGAAGTACCATAAAAGGTAAGTGAGTTTGTACCACAACTAGTTAGAGGACATGTATTAATTTAAGATAGAAGGTAGAAATACTTTTAAGGGGAAGTGAGTACTTGTACCCTTTCTATACTTGTGTGTAGTCTACAATGTGCTTTCCCTTTGATTTTGTCTTCAGGAAAATAAATGAGTCGATTTGGAGTGATTTACAGCCTTCTCAAAGAGATATGAGTAGTGAGTTATGACCCTTTGATTATTCAAATTTTAGTTTTCATTTGTTAGTTTGAAGTAGAAGTTGTGGCAGCAGAAAAACTATAAGAACTGGTGATTCATCAGCTATTTTTGAAGAACCTGTGAGTCTAGCTGTTGCATTGAGGACTGTAATAGCCTAACAGTTCTTGCTGGCTATTCTCTTGTTCCAACTATTACACTAGCTGCTGGTTCTTAAACGCGCCACATAAATTATAGTTTTATAACTGATGTTTAGCATGATTCAGTGGCTGCTAGTTTTTAGATTTTATAACTGATGTTTAGCATGACTCACTTGTACATGAACTATAGTTTGATGACTGATTTCTGTTACTTGAACTATAGTTTTTGGTGCTTGTATGGTGGTGCATTTTTTGCTACAGGTTTTTCAAAATAGGATATGGCCTGGCTAGGACAATTTAGCTTCCAATTGGATGTATGGGAATCAGGTAGTGAACCTGCAACTCGCTCAACTTGTCATGTTGCCACTGTAAATGAATCTAAGTTTAAGTTATTCAGTTATGATAGATATGTCTTGCTTTTGGGGAGATTATCATAACTACATGCATTTCCTCTTGAGGGTTCTGTTTGTGTTACAAACTGTGGTTGATTTTCATGCCAGTATCTTGCACGACAGTGGCAGCAATAGTTCAAATTTGACGAGTTTGTTACTTTGCAACTTGGGGGATACTTCGTATTATGATCCAAGTCAAGCTTATGAAATCCATGATGGACGTGAGAATGATGAATACATACTAGCCTTTATGAGTTCTTAACAAATGTTTATCGATCGAACTGATGGTAGAAATGCAGATTGGGATAGTCATGAGAATGCAACTGCCATGAAAACCCTTTTAAGTGGAAGTCTAAAGTTATGAAAAATTTGGTTCTTTGCATCTTATTATTAATTGTTCATGGAGCTTGTGGATTGTAATATATTGTGTATTTGCCTACTGCTTGACAAATTTTTGTGTCTTTATTAACATCTAATTTCAATTTTCTTATTATATTTTGTCAGGATGAGTTGATGGATATTGGAGCTACTCAAGAGTATCTTGTAAAAGAATAGGCCAAAGGTTTGGATAACTTTAGATGATTTGGTTAGATCCATTGGATAGTTGCATTTGTAATTGACTTTCATTATGTTGAAGTTTTATGCTACGATAATTAGTCTTTTCATATATATGTAATAAACATTAATAAGTAAATGTCATTTCAACTAATTGTTTGACAATAATGTTATAAATTCATGCTATAAGAGTTGGTCTTTTTAATTATATGTTAACATACTAAATTTTATGTACCATGAAAAAATATCGTGGCTAGTGATTGTAATTAGCCACTGTAAATACCGTGACCAATTATAAGTATTTAGACATGGGAGAATCAACCAAACACCGTGACTAATGATTTGTATCTAGTCACGGTATATACTGTGTTAAAATGTGTACATCCCGTATCTAAATGAGTTTTTTCATCGGTTTTGTGTGAGAGGATTTAGTATCAGTTACGGTGCTCACCGTGATTAGTAGGTAGAAATTATCACAGGAAATATACTGTGACTAGTTAAAACTAGTCACGGTACAAAATCCCCGTGACCTTTACAATTAGACACGGAGATATATGTTACGGTAATTTTCCCGTGACTGGAACTATTAAACACGGGAAACACACTTTCAAGTACGGGATTTCCCGTGATTAAAGGATTCTTTTCCTGTAGTGTAAGCACAATCATCCCATAAACACATAAAGGCACGAAACTATGTGTTTCATAGATGAAGTAGGTTGCAATAGAAAGCCTAGTTTATGCCTCGATGGCAACCATTTAACATGCACAAGATGGTCTGAAGACTATGTAGTTATGCAAACACTTGGTGGGCAGTTTCAATTCTAATAACAAGAATATGCAAAAAATTAAATTTCCCACCAAGTCACAAACGAGTCATCAAACACTCTAGCTACGTGCAATCAATTATCATTTAAATCAAAAGTCCAATTCTCCTAACAAGGTACAAGTTCATAACACTTCTGGATACACAAGCAAGGTCCAAGAGGAAGGCGAGGGAGTCAAAATTCGGCTGAAAAAGTGACCGGAGGAGGTCGCATAAAGTTGGCCGGAAGCAAATCTCCCCAAAATGTAGGCGAAGGTTCTTTAAAGGGAGAGGAGGCTGGGTATCTTACTGGTTTTTTATTTCGGCGACCTGAGGTAGATTAGATCGTCAAAAAAACTACCGGAGGCGCCGTTTTTCAACGAGAATTATATTTTGGTTTTTTAACGATGATTTGACTTCACAGTACAGTTAATTATCATTGGCTTGTTCCACCTGCTAATGCAAGGTTGCCGCCTTACTGGACTCATTAGTGTTTTTTTTTTTTCAACTTAAAACATTCATTCGTCGTGTCATAAAAAAAATCTATTATGTCAAAGAAGTTTGATGACAATGAATATTCAGTAAGCAACAAACAAATTACTAATCTGCATGGTAAAGGAAACCGGATCGTACCGGCCGGTTGAACCGGTAAAATCGGAAACCGGCGCCTGGCCGATACGGTAGCCGTTTTGTAGTGAAGGAGCCGTTCCGGCCGGTTTTTCCGGTAAAACCGGTTTAATTCAAAAAACCGCCCGGTTTTGGTCTAACCGGGGGTAAGCTGCTGGGAAGAACACGACGACATCATTTTGGTATTAGGAAAAGAAAAATCGGCCGAAGCCTCAAAAACAAAACCCTAAATCCATCGGCCGCAGTCATCGTTTTTGTTTGCTGCTGCTGGCGACCAGGACCGTCCTCCCTCCTCTTCTTCTCCAACTGCGATCGGCGACCCGGTGATCCTCCTCTCGCTTCTACAGGCAAGAGAAGCAGCTCCTCTCCCTGGCCGGTCGGAAGTTTAATCGCCTCCCGTTGCCGCCATGATTGAGGTCCGCTGCCCCTATGAATTGGGGTCAACACTCAGCAGCCCAACCGTTGTCTATTCCTCCTGCAAAAGCCACATGCATAGCAAAGAGAGGAATATTCATGTTGTAAAAATGAAAAGAATAGAGCTTTATTTTGCCTCTATGGGTCGAAGAGGGGTGAGAGGCGGAGAGGGGAGAGAGAAAGGAGAAAGAGGGATTGATGAGTCATATTTTTGGATTTGCTAATCTATTTTGAGATCTAATGGAAAAAACCTACATGCATGTTGAAGAAGGTAATGATCTGAAGAAGAAAAAGAATGAAGAGCATAGCCTTTTTCCTCTGGTTAGTAACTGGTGAGAAGAGAGAGTTGGAGAGAGAAGAGAGAGTGGGGGATTTGTGGCAAGCGGAGAGATAAGGGGAAATAGGCAGGAACTTTAAAATGCAAAAAAGAAAGAAATAAATAAATAAGTCATAAAATAACATGATTAATTATTTGAACCGGTCACAATCTCATATATGCACATAAATGATTATTAAATATTTGTTAGAGACTTATATTGATATTATTAAGAAATCAAAATTGATATAAAAAGTTCACCCTCTTTTTATCGTTAACATTTTTCATACAATAATGGCTAACTAAACATTATGGTATTAATAATGCTTCTTGTTATCCGGTATATTTCGGTTTTATTCCGGTATTATTCCGAAACGGTATCACAAATCTGCCGGTACGATTTTTTAACAAAAAAATATTATTTAATTATAAAAACGGTATTTTGCCGGTACACAACGGTTGAACCACGGTAGTACCACAAAATACCCTACTACTGGCGGAACCGGTATGACTTCCGGTACGGTTTCCTTTACCATGCTAATCTGAAGGACCAAACATGCAATTCATCAATCAAGTTCATATCCGCACACCAATCACATATACAAAATATAAGTCCCTAATTCGTAGAACCATAACAAGCAACTTCACCAAAAGTTCAAGCCTCAGAGCCGTCTACGATTCGGCTCCTCCATATCCATCATTCGTTCAAGCGCGCGCCCGCATAAGGTAAACGAGCAAAAGCCAATTTCTCCTTGTCGTCGTTGTTGCTCAGAAGGACGAGCTTTCAGAACCTCTGGATCTTCAAAAACATGTCTGCAGTGCTTGTCTTGCTGACATCCAGCGACGGGTCTACCACGGCTGCCGCCTCCACCACTTCCCCTCTACACTCGCAATACGATCCCAATTGGTGGGTGGAGGTAGTCAAGTCCACTTGAGTGGTGCTAAGCAGGTGGAACACTAAGGTTACAACTTACAAGCTAAGAGTGTAGGTTTCTCAAGGATGTGACAAGTCAGAGATAACACAAATATAAAGTTAGAGATCATTGAAAATCACTAATACAAATTATTTAAAATATTTAATGAAAAATGTGGAACAAATTGACCTCTATGTTATTTGGCTCTGGGTTTCATAAATCATAACAGAACAACAGATTTAATTAGTGGCTTAAAATGGTGGACTTAGTAGTGAAAGGTCCAGCCAAATTAATGATCTTAAACGACTGGATTATCGCTGCCAAGACTTTGCTGGACCGCCAGGAGCCGGCGGGATGAACTAGTCTTCCTAATCCCAATATCGGTATGGTCGAGCCCGACGGATCTTTCTCCAGAGAGTACACTTCAACAATGGCTGCCACCACTAGGACCACAACACAAACCCAGAAAAACGTCCTCAAATTATGGCTATTGGCATGGAAGATCCTCAAATCCCTCACCGTTCCCATAGGCCCCTTGTCCTTTATCCCTATAGATTCCCCTATACCACTGAACGCCGATACAACATCCACAATGTCTTGGTCTCCACAAACAACAATCCCCGCCTCTCTAAGCAATCCCACGTCCGCCTCGCTCCTAATCAGCCCGTCCATCAATTTCCCGTACTGGGTCAGGATCAAAGTATCCTCTTCGTATTTCGCCATGGATTCGTAGGCCACGAGGTTTTGGAGGATCACTTGGCAGATAGGGTTCCACGTGAACTTGGGGATTGCCAGAGTTCTGCTCCTGAAACTAATGTCCCTGACGCTCCCTGACGCCGCCTGCAATTTGACCCCAGCCCTTTTAAGCTCGGACGCCGATGAGATGATTGGCGCTGCCACCTTCTTCACATTGAGATCTATTAGGTTGTTGAGGATTGGAACGGCGGACAGGATTTTGGGGACGAAGAGGGAGAGAAGTTTGACGGGCCATAAGAAGGCGAGAACCAACGGATGTTGTAGATGGTAAACGGATTCCAGAAACCCGAGTTGAGGATCCGGATCCTCCTCCTCATTCTTCTCGACACGTTTCAGGAGAATTAGATTGTAAAGCAGATCCAACAGATGGAGAGGCTCGGCATCGTCTACTTCCTGCAGCGGGTAGCTCGATTTAAGCTCCAGCGGCGAGACTCTCCGGCAAAGTTGAATCAAACCCGAAGACAGTACGCCCGATGATTTGTATTCCCCGCCAATCGTCGTGGCGATGTCTTGCAGGACGAAAATGGGTATCTGGTTCTCGACCATCATCACGTCTCTGTAGAACCCAAGTTCAATTCGCCGCCTGGATTGCGAGCTGAGGAAAACCCTGCTATTCCCAAAACTGGGGAGGTTGCCGCCGTTAAAGCAGAACAATTCCAGAAGGAAAAGCCCGTCCACGGCCATGATCTCTGCCACAGTGGAGTCGTCCGCCGTCAGATGATCGCGGTAGCATTGGCGGATATCCGGGACGAGTGGTTCGAGCATTCGGACGAGTTCTGGGAAAGTTGGTGGAGGGAATTGGGAGTTAGCGAGCGCGAATTTGGCCAAGGCGAGTTTGAAGGGTTGCATTGGAAGAAGATCGTGCCTTGAATGATGGTATGGCCCAAAGGAGATGATCTGAGGGGAGAAGTATTGAGGCTTGGAGGAGGAGGTGGAGAGGCTTCTTGGGACTTTGAAGATGCAGGAAGGGATTGGGACGATATTACTACGCTGCTGAAGAATGTCTGCAGCAGAATCGCTATCTGGTTTGCTGTCGATGGAAATAGCGATCCATTTGCGTTCATCAGAAGAGCTCATTTTGGCGCCAGGTAGCTTATTGTGTTGTGTTGGTGTGTTTCTTTCCTGCTTCTTCTTATTCTGATGTGTGTGTGTGTATATATAATATAATGATGGAGAGAATTGCAAAATTAACATATTGCCGCCAGTTTTGGTTCTTGATTTACAAGTCAAACTGCCTACCCGCTTGTACGACCTAGAAGCAAAACGAATTTGGTGATTGATAGATTCTGGACTCAAGTTTTTGACCAGAAAGGAAATTGGAATGTACATTTCTATGCAAGTTCCTTCCAACATCTGCCGTTTCTTTCACTGCAGGGTCCTGCCTGCTGGTCTCCTTATGTTTGTGTTTCTGTCAGTAGCTAAACGCGGATCAATCTCAATGTTCTCGACGAGTCGCGCCCAATAGTTACTCGGCGTGGAAGAAAAATGGGTTAGGGTTATTAAACACATGAAGTCCAAGACTTTGATTATAATAAGAAACTAGCTTATAACCCGACCCGTTGGTCGGAGGAGTTGAGCCGAATATTGAATTATTGGGATAACCCGTAGATTCAAACATTAAGCTAAATTGGCCTAATGGTGAGTACCGCCTAGCATTATCCCTAATAAAATTTTGCGTACCAATGATAATTCCTCTCTTCTCCTCGGTGGCTTCTTCAATAATATGAGATTGCGGCTACCTATACCAACATGTTCTATATGAATATAAAATGGTATTTTGTATAAACCGTTTCTGCCTTACCCATTTTTGCATCGCAGCGCCAAGAGCTAAGAAAAGGCCCATCCTCCACCGAAAGAAATCCTATCCTGCCTTCCAAGTCATTTCGATGAAGCGGATCAGCAGAGAAATGCCTAGATAGAAACTGAACATAAACGAAAATAATAAGTAGAAACTGAAAGTCGCAACACTATGTATTCAATATATTGTCAAATATAATCTGGCATTTAGAAAAGGCCTCTATGTATCCGTTCATGGCATCTAAAACAAAAGAAACCCCAACTTAAGATGTTTAGAGTAAAAGAGAGAGGTACTACAGACAATACCAATAGGAAATATAAAATTCATGATCTATGTCCAACGACCATCCCTAATATAAATAATAAAACCGTATATTTAAATTACTAAGAGTTGTTTCTCTAATCACTCCCCATCTGACTTTAGAGGGTTTTATCTTATAGCTCTTGAACACTGACGGGTTCTTTGGTTGTATAGTATTGGTTGCTTCATGCTCACTACTGATTCCGTTGGCAGTAAATTGGGATGACGAACTTCCATTGTGAAGTGTAGAAAGAGGTTGCTGCAAATTCGAAAGACTGATTAACATGAATATATAATATATTATTCTATCAATTTCAACAAAAAGCAAACAGAAATGAGTTATCCAACTATCAATTTCATGGCTGCTGCAAATTAGTTTTTGTTAACTTCATGGGTGGATCTAATTAGTTGACATACAGATCTTCAAAAAGAGTTGCAAGTGAAGCTGCAAGTTTAAACCCTTTCACGGGTGAGACTTAAAGCTTTGAGAATTATTATTTAATCATTATTAGCATATTCATCATTGGCGAAATAGAATAATCATGAGGATATATATAATCAATATTATCAATTAATAGTACTCAAAGGAAAGACTTGGATCCCAAATAATTATATTATTGAATAACTATAATCATGTTGACAATTAGGGAAATAGATCCATCCATCAAGTTTTTTATAGGTAAAGGGATTTGGTGGTTTGCATTCCATGTAAAACAAAAACTATTCCAATTAGAGTTCAGTGATTCAGTTAATTGTCGAAAGACTGAATTAATCAACAACATAAAGTAACGGTTCAATTAAGCTTAGTGACTAACCTAGGCAGTAACGTAGCAGTAGATTCAATGCTTGCCTTGTTCTATTGAAGGTTGATCAATTTATAGCATGCTAAATTCATGCGACGAATCTTGATATTGAATTCGGTTAGCATTATCTGGAATTGTAACTGCAGATGTTGTATTTTGAGAAGAGCAGCAGATACAACAGTGGGGGTCCTTTTACTCATCGGCAAAAAGTGTCTGAGCTGAGATTCCAAAAAACATCTTCCTTTCCTTGTCCATGAGAACAGATTGGGCATCACCAGAGACTGTAGGTTGTATTCTAAATCTGGTTAGATTCCAAGTGATAGATGGAGGAAATAGTAAATTGTAATTGTGTAGGTAGTACTCGGCCTTTTTAACAGAGTGGTTCATTGTTAATCAACACTTCTTACTTTAAAATTTACTTCGTCTTCAGGACGATGGACGATTAAGGCGATCAGAGGTTCCGTAAGTACCACCCTTACCAGAATTTCTACACCGTCCCTTCGCAGAGCCTCTACAACCTCCCTACGTCGCCAGAATTCCTCTTCCATGAAGAAGCCGCGCGCCAGCGGCGGAGCTGGAGCGAGAATCTCACCTAGTACCCCGGCGCGATCGTCGGCGGCGCGAAGGGGACGCTCGATGGGATCAAGGTGGCCGCGGCCAGCGACAGCATGAAGGCGGCGGGAACAGGGTTTTGAACTCTGGCGGGCACAGTGGTCGCCGGCCCTCTTCTCTATCGATTATCTACAATCTCTGAATGTGCTCTACTACGCTGCAAGGAATGAGGAAAGTCGCCTTTTGCCCAATCTTTTGGGCCATGGAAACCACATCAGCCCAATGAAAGAAAATGGCAAAGAAGCCCGATTTCTTCTCACTCAGCCAAAATTTCCGCCTGCCAACTTTATCCTCCCGCAAAATGCTCTATGCTTCCGAATTTTGAAATGGGGTATCGGTTTTTGGATACCAGCTTTTACAATATGTGTAGATAACCGAATAAGTTATGGATAGCTAGGGGTATGCATCGGTCGATACGGTCCAAGACCGGACCAAACTATCCTCGGACCGGATCAAAACTTCTAAATCAAGGATCAAAGTCGAATTGTTATTACTTCGATTTGGTCCGTATCAAACTATATATGGCTCGATTCGGTCTGGACCGACTAATCTGTCATTCGAATAAAATCACTCTTAAAGGACAACACAACAATTTAAAAAAAATGTAACTGCATAAAAGAAGTAATCAAATTATCCCAATTTAAATACTCCACAATTCTTAAAACCCACAGCTTCCAAAATATTATGCAAAAAGTTAAACGAGAACTACTTAACTAAAAGACAAAAGTCTTTTTATTCAATCTCAAAGTAGTCTAACTAATTGCCTCTCTAATCTTCCATTTTCATTTTCAAAGTGCACGTTAGACCTCCCAATCTCCATAATTTCCACTGTTCATTAGAAAGGAGTTTAACAAAATGACACTTACTCCAAAAACTAGTGCAATAAAACAAATGATTCTTAAACTTGCTAATTTGCAGTGGTGTTGTCAGACTTGGCAGAAGCATCTGTGGTGTCATTTATTCGCATCTTCTCCATATCTGAAACATTAAACAAGAAAAGAGAACATGGTTCACAGTGTGTAGGTAAAGTAATCAGCTACTTGATCGTAGCAACGCGGGAGTGGCGAGTCAAAGTCAGGAAAAGTCAATCATATTTATAGGTAATTAAGTAGCATGTAGGGTACTATGGTTTTCAACTCCAAGTCGACTTTCCTTCTTAGAGCCTAATAAAATAGGCAATTAATTAAATTACGATTCGGTCCGGTCCTTAGCTTGATTTTACGATTTCGGTCTGAACCGAACCAAAACCGAAAATGTCCCAAATTCAGGAACCAAAGTCGAATCAAAAGATAAACAGTTTGCTCCGATTCGATGTGAGAGTCGATTCGGTCGGATGTGAATCGAATCGTTTCCCACCCCTATGGATAGCTGGGATTGAGAGTTATATTATTAATTAATATATAAAAGCCTAAGTTTGAGTTACTATTTATTAGTGGCTCTCACACTCCTCTAAGTGCAAGTGGGGAAGTTCCAAATCATTCTTTTACCCCACTCTCTTACTCTATATCATATGTGTTCATCTATTGTTTGTTGGGTCTACATCTATTTCCAATTAGTTCTCTAATGTTAGGTTTTTGTGTATTAATTGTCTACTAAGTTTTCATCTATTGTTCATTGGTTTCAATATAGCAACAATTACTCATTAATTGATATATAAAAACCTAGGTTTGAGTTACTATTTATTAGTGACTCTCACGCTCCTCCCAGTGCAAGTGGGGAAGTTCCAAATCATTCTTTTACTCACTCTCTTACTCTATATCCTATGTGTTCATCTATTGTTTTTTGGGTCTACATCTATTGCCAATTAGTTCTCTAATGTTAGGTTTTTGTGTATTAATTGTCTACTAAGTTTTCATCTATTGTTCATTGGTTTCCCTATTGCAACAATTACCCATCTCGAAACACTATCGACGAAATCATAAGTTGTCCTCTTCCACCTAGTCTTTTATATATTAATTGTTAATTAATTATTAATATATAAAAGCTTAGGTTTGATTTACTATTCATTAGTTGCTCTCACATTCCTTCAAGTGCAAGTGGGGAAATTCCAAATCATTCTTTTACCCCACTCTCTTACTCTATATCCTATGTGTTCATCTATTATTTGTTGGGTCTACATCTATTGCCAATTAGTTCTCTAATGTTAGGTTTTTGTGTATTAATTGTCTACTAAGTTTTCATCTATTGTTCATTGGTTTCCCTATTGCAACAATTACTCATCTCGAAACACTATCGACGAACTCTTAAGTTGTCCCCTTCCACCTAGCCTGTTATATATTAATTGTTAATTAATTAATATATAAAAGCCTAGGTTTGAGTTACTATTCATTAGTGACTCTCACATTCCTCCAAGTGCAAGTGGGGAAGTTCGAAATCATTCTTTTACCCCCACCTCTCTTACTCTATATCCTATGTGTTCGTTTATTGTTTGTTGGGTCTACATCTATTGCCAATTAGTTCTTTAATGTTAGGTTTTTGTGTATTAATTGTCTACTAAGTTTTCATCTGTTGTTCATTGGTTTCCCTATTGCAAGAATTACCCATCTCGAAACACTATCGACGAAATCATAAGTTGTCATCTTCCACCTAGCTTTTTATATATTAATTGTCCACTAAGTTTTCATCTATTGTTCATTGGTTTCCCTATGGCAACAATTACCCATCTCGAAACACTATCGGCGAAATCATAAGTTGTCCTCTTCCACCTTTTGCACGACTACTACCGAAGATCCTACCATATCTATTATGTGCAATCCTTGCATACGCCCAATAATGTACCCATCCACTGTGTTTCAAAACCGCTATAGAAAATGCATACCAAATTTGCTTTGTTTTGCCGAATTTGATATCGGGACTAAGTTGCATATTCTTTAATATTTTCTTATCTCTCTTTTTCATTTTGGTTAAGCATGACAATTAAACTCAAACTCATGAGTATCCAACATAATTCGTCCAAGTCAAAGCGACTTTGAACCCAATTTTAGTATTTTTTAAATTTCTATTTTTCCTTTGTTAAGAATAGTAATTGAACTCAAACTCATGGTATTGACGAGTTTTGTATTGAGAGAGAGTTTTATATGCTTTTGTAGTTAATTGGTAGGTTGGGTCGAGAGTTAATTTCTTCAAAACTCGATTCGACCTGGTCAAAGCGAGCTGAACACGGTGCTGAGAGTTTTTTATGGAGAGCAAGTTTTGTCCGCTTTAATATTTTTTTTCCTCCTTTTCCTTTTGGTTGAGAATGACAATTGAACCCGGACCCTGTGCTGACAAGTTTTGTATAAAGAGCGAGTTTAATCTGATTTTAGATATGACATGTTGAGCCGAGTGTGAATTGTTAAAAACTCAGTTCGAACCAGTCAATGCGAGTGAACTGGTGTGTAGAGTTTTTGATAGGGAGCGAGTTTATCCGCTTTAGTAGTGTTTTATTTATCCTTTTCCTTTTGGTTGATAACCAAACCTATGGGTATCCAACCTAGCTAATTCAAGCCATTGATCCAGGACGTCACCTGGGTTGTCGCCCACTTTTTATTTTACTATCGTTGACGACTTGCGCCCATAAAGCGCCTGAAAGGGTGTCGTACCAATGGTGCGATGGTATGTCGTGTTGTACCACAACCCATCCCAAGGTAGCATAGCTAGCCACTTTCGCGGCTATTGGTGAGCAAAGCACAGGAGATACTGTTCGATACACTTGTTCACAATCTTGGTTTGGTCGTCTAACTATGGATGGTACGCCAAACTCATGCTTATCTTTATCTTGGCCATGGAAAATAGCTCTTTCCACAAGTTACCCAAAATGACTATATCCCCATCACTCACTACGGTGGACAGGATCCCATGGTCCTTCACGATTCCTTGCACGAACAGTTCTGCCACCGTTTTCGTCGTATAGTAATGCAACAATGCCATAGAGTGAGCATATTTTGTCAACCTATCCACCACCACCAGCAATGCTATTTCCCCCAGATGGCAGTAACCCAATGATGAAATCCATGCTCACTTCTTCCCAAACTCGGTCTGGCACAGATAAGGGTTGTAGCAACCCCGCAGGTCCAAGGGCGGATACCTTTACTCTCTGGTAGGTATCGCACGAGGCGATGTAGTCGCACAGTGCCTTGATCATGTGGGGCCAATAAAAGTGACCCTACTTTCCACGCCAGAATGGCCTCCAACGACGAATCATGAAATTCCTACCTAATTGCAATGATCAAAGAGGAGTGCGGGGGAAGGACCACCCGACCTTTGAAAAATACTAACCTCTGTTTGTAGCTGTACTCCCCTAGTCTTGGTGATAGTGCTATCTCTCGACAATCCTTCAGGTACGAATTCTGCAAGATGGCATCATGGACTTAATCCTAGAAATTGATCACTGTTTGAGACATCATGGTCAACACCGCTCCTCCTAGGCTTCGAGATAACCCGTCCGCTGATCCCGATTTGTAGTTGATTTCATAGTCATAACCAAGCATCTTAGAAATCCACTTGTGTTGATCGGGAGTGGATATTCATTGCTCTAGGAGATGCTTCAATACCATTGCCATTACTAGCTAGCAGCAGTTGAGGGAGAAACACGATTCGTCCCATGCCTCTTGAGAAAAGGTGGGCTAAGTCATCAAGGGAGACTTGGGCCACAACTGGACAATCTTGTGGATTATTTTGCATGGACAAAACATGAAAGAAGAAGGAAGTGGCTCATTGAATTAGGAGGTAAGCTTTCAAGAGAGCCTAGCCCAATTTCACTTGGAAAAGAGTGGAGCACAAAAGATCTTGTCTTCATCAACATTCATGTAGCAAATTTATGGAGCAGTCCATTGAAGATTTCAGGGTGGGTAATGATGATGGACACAAGGAAGAACAGTTCTCTAATTCTTAGTTTATGAATTTCGAAAAGGAAGAGAAAGAACTGTTTTCCTTGGGAGAAGGTGACATGTGCCACCTGGTTAGAGAAGAGTCGAGGAAAGTTGGAGTTACTGGAGAAATGTTCACTCATGGGATTGAGATCAATTGGAAACAAAGAAAGTTGAAAGTCAAAAAACAGAAGTCGACTGCAACCTTAAGGACAAGGTTGCTTTCAAGGGGTGGATTGTTAGAAACTTACTTCTTATTAAATTCTATTTTTTTCTATGTTAGGATAATTATTGTTGGGGTTAGTAGTATTTGGACAGTATTAGATTATTTATTAGATTTATTCCGGTATTTCCTATTAATATGTACTTTGTGTTTCACTATAAAAAATAATATTACAAAATGTATCTTCCAAACTAGGGGTGGGCATGCGGTTCGGTAAACCCGAACCGAACCGAACAAAAACCGACCGAAACCGAAATTGATACTAGGGGTGGGCATGCGGCTTGGAAATCGGAGGTGTAAATGTCATGTTTCGGGATACAGGTTTGTGTGAACGGAACCGAAATTCTGAAATTCCGACCGAAAAATCGAAATGTAGCCCAACTGCCTAAGACCCAACCCAAGTGGTCAACTCCCTAGTCCAGCCCAACCCTTTTGGAGAAACCCCTAAGGCCTGAGCCCAATAGCCCACTCCTTGTCTAGCATAAGTGACGACCCAACTCCCAAACCCCACCATTAATTAACCCTATTTAATTGTGTGATTGAGAGAGGAAGTAGTTATTGCCAATGGCCACCGGCCACCACCAACACCCCAGCCAGCCACTCGACCACTCCGTCCCTCACTCTCTGCTCTCTCCGTCTCTCCCATTGCCAATCGCCGCCTCCCCCCTCCGTCTCTCCCAGACTCCCACTGCCACTCGCCTCCTCCAACCCTTCGTCTCTCCCGGACTGCCACCGCCACTAGCCTCTCACATCATCGTCGCCACAACAAATCACGACTCCCAGAATCCATCCTCCGACTCGGCCCTGTTTCCTTTCACACCATCGTCGCAACAGCCCTTCTGCCCAGCCGAAGCAGCACCAAAGTGCAAAAGTAAAATATCACAACAAGGGATTTTCGGTTGTGGGCAGAAAACCGAACTGTGTTATAATTTGGTTCGAATGCCCACCCCTATTGGAACCTCAGTAGTTGTTAATTCAGTTCTGTTTGAACCGAACCGACCGAATGTCAACCCCTATTCCAAACCCTCATTTATCCTTCTCTCAATCTCAACTGTCTTTCCCCAAAGTCTCGGCCTATTCTTCCGTATTTTGCTGAATTATGTTCTTCAATACCTAATCTCCAATTCTCCTATCTAAATCACTAATTATTACCCCAAGTGCCCAAGATCAGACACCCTAAAATCTCTACCTGGTACGAGTAATCCCAAGTGCTACGGCCTACGAGTAATCTCTAATTCTCCTATCTAAATCCAAGATCAGAAACCCTAGAAAAACTGAAAAAGTTTCTTACAGAAAAACATAACGTGCTGCCGGGTTGGGTCGCCAACTCAGTCAAATCTACATCTACTATTCTTGACCTCCTCTCCTATGCAATAATGTAATATGAACTGTAACCATTTCTTGAGATGATTCCATTGTAAAAAAAAAAAAAACACAGCAAGTACTGGGATTGCAACAAAAGTACGTGATTCCATAAAAAATTATTCGTACTTTCGAAATTGACCCCTAGACATGCATTCTAATTTCTCATCATCATAATTGTTCCCTCCCTATGCCCTTGAATACCACCATCTACCAAATTAGCCGCCACCAGATCCATACTTCTTGCCGAAGACGATCAGCTGCAGCTTATCATAACCAGCCAGCACACCTGCACCTGCCACTGCTCGAAGGATGTTCGCACCAGCACCCTTGAAGAGTGATTTCGTGCCTTCTTTCTGGACAATCTGCTTGAACGCATCAAGCGAGCTGCTGTACTTCACAGCTTCACCTGATGTCATCATCATTCTTCTACGCACGGTATCAATTGGATAAGATGCCAGTCCGGCTCCGATCGTAATACCCCATCCGAGCAAGAAACTTGCCAAGAAACTATCCTGGAGTGCCCAAAAGGAAAATACAATTCCAAGTACCCATATCATTATATTAGGTCCATTGCTATCCTTCAGAGCATAAATGATTAAGCCAAGGAAATGACACGCGATTAAATGGATAGAAATGGTCTAACCTGTAAATCACCAGTGAGAACCACAGGCTTAAGAGAGTCGTACATGCCAAAGTAGAGTCCACGGTACACAATGATTCCAACACAAGAGATGTTGAAACCACGGTACAGTCCAGCAACTCCATCAGTTTTAATGGTTTTCCTGTAAACGTCAACCAAACCATTGAACTGCCTCTCGCCACCCCCTTTAGCTGCCTTTGCATCATTGGCCAAGCGTGTTCGGGCATAATCCAAGGAGTAAACAAACAGAAGAGATGAGGCACCAGCAGCTCCACCAGACATCAAGTTCCCAGCGAACCATTTCCAGTAACCATCCTTGTCCTTCTTGAAGTTAAACAACCTCTTGAAGTAATCTTTGAATGCAAAGTTCAGAGCCTAATCATTCATACACAAGAGTTCCAGTCCAAGAAAGTAGATCAAAAGGCAAGGGAAATAGGTCAGCACCATCACCATACAAGAGAAACGCCAATTCCAGATAGTTTTTCCATAGTACTAAAAAGTTGCACTGAATAAGCAAAGTACCTGAGTAGGGAAGTATCTGATAACATTAGCAGTGTTGCCTCTCCAAAGGGCAATCATACCCTCGTCCTTCATGGTTCTTGCAAAACAGTCACCAATTCCCTTATAAGGTTCAGAAAGACGGCCAGCTTTAATCATCTCATCCTGATTCTGAATCAGGAGCTTAACACGCTCAATAGGAGCGGCTGCAGTCTTGGAAACGGCAGCAGAGACGCCACCCATGAGGAAATCAATCATGAAGGCACCAAAGCCTTTCTCAGAGGGTGCTTGAACAAAGATGGGGGAATGGTTGGGGAGAACTGCCAAGCCAGCTCCCTGCATAGTGTAATGCAAGGGAGACTGGAAACCAACGTCAAAGCAAGCAGTCCCATTTCTGCTTTGTAAGCCTGGAGACAGCTTAGAGACAAGATGGGATTGCCCATACATCTTCTGAAAAACTGATGGATGCGTTGATTCATCCGCCATGTTTGCAACTTAAGATGGTGAAACCTGAACAGTATAAACACAACAGAGCATGAGAACAGAATAATCTGTGAATCATAGAAAGCAAAGCCAATTTGACAAGGACTGAACAACCACAATCCTCAGGAATCCTTCTTTCCTCCTAAAACCCTAAAGAAAACATAGATGGTGATTCAATTAACCTTACTACAAGTAAGGACAATTCAGCTTCCAACTTCCATAATCATCGACAACAATTTCACATATCTAACATGTCAATCCTTTGCTCTGCGTCTAACCAGAAGAATCCGCGACAAAGAAGCACAATACAGAAAGCTAGCATGATTAGATCTAAACTGCCTTGGAAATTTTAAGTCCTACCAATTAACGTATAATCACGCCACCATTCAAACAGCAAGACCGAATTCCGCCAATGAAAGCAAGACGCGCCGCTATGGCGGAGATAAAAGAGCTGGACGACTAGAAGTTTCCTACCCCAAGCTCCGGTCACTTTTCTCAGTAAACAAATAAAACATCAAGGAAAATGGAGCGGCACAAACAACCGATCCGGCGGGCGGAGCAACACAGTCAACCGAAGTACACAATCCATTGAACGAGCAACGAAAAGAGAAATGTATCGGAGTAAAAACCTGCAAAAGGTTGCTCGGAGAAAGCTAGGTAGCTCGCCACCTTCCGTATTGCCCGGAGAAAGCACGTAGACCGACCAGAAGTCTTGTTTTTATAGTTCAGAGGTGCACTGATAGGGTTTTTGGCAAAATGACGACGCTATCCTCGCCCGCCATGGCTTCCCTGTTAATTATTACTTAATAATAGTCAATATTACAGTGCCACTATTAAAAGTGCGCACCGGTAACGCCATTTTTCATTAGTTATTTAGTTCACGTAGCATCTATTAGCCTATTAAAATGGCCCAAACGGCCTGTCCCAAAGTAACGAACAAAGGGTTCTTCGTCCAACGACATAATTTTTTTATTAATTAAATTCAAATTCATAAAATGACTGAAAATTACACTTTCTTTATCTCCCTTGCCGGCGGCTTCTGTCACGACCTTACTCTCGATCGTGCGGCCCTAGCTCTCAATTCCTTTAGAGTGCTAGGCAGCCTTCTCTCAAACTCACAAGCAAGCAAAGACAAAGGATTGGGAGAACTCTCTAGTGTGTATTACTCTAAAAAATGATGGAATGAGTTACAAGTGAGGGAGATGGCTCCTTATATAGGCCTCTCCACATACAAGGCATCAATGCCCCTCATAATGTCCCTCTACTACATCAATACACCCCATTAAGTCCCCCCATTATGCACTCTATAAATGTCACCCATTATGTGACTCATAAGTGCACCATTAAGCTCTACATTAAGGTGGAGAATCCTAGGAGCATCTCTATGCTACTAGTCTTCCATACATGCCACATGTGCAGCCGCCATGTTGTCACCTTGTTGGCGCCATGTCATCTGCCACATGTGACATCCTCCCCCACCTATGCTCGCGACGCCCTCGTCGCGTCCTCTTGATGGAATGCCTCGATCAAGTCATTGTTCTTCCAAAGCGTGAGCTCTTTCTCCCAAGTTGCTTCACTTTCCGGAAGGTTGCGCCACTTGACCAAGTACTCCACAAAGGTTGGATGTACGCCACGACGAGGAATGACACGACGCGCCATGATTTCTTCGACTTCATGGTCGTGTGTCTTGGTGACGAGTGTTGGTGCGCGCTGCGGCTCCCTTAGCTGCTCGTCCTCCTTGTCTTCGTGGTAAGGCTTGAGTTGGCTCACATGAAAGACCGGATGGATCTCCAAGTGCGTCGGCAACTCCACCTTGTATACCACCTTGCCAATCCTCTTCACGATGGGGAATGGCCCTTCATTGCGGCGAAGCAGTCCCTTGTGCACGTTCTTGAGATGCTTGAAGCGATGAGGGTAGAACTTGACCATCACCATGTCTCCCTCTTCGAACTCCAAGTGCCACCTCTTCTTGTCCGCCCATTTCTTCATCTTCTTACTAGCACGGGCTAAGTAAGACTTGGCCATCTCCATCTTCTCGTGCCAGCCTTTAGCGAACTTGTAGGCCGCCGGACTGTTGCCTCTATACCCCGTTGCCACCGTCGTAGGTGTCAAAGGTTGCTGCCCCTTCGCCAACTCAAATGGACTCGTGTTGGTCGACTCGCTGCGGTGCAAGTTGTAGGAGAACTGTGTCGTGTCCATCAACTTCACCCAATCTCGTTGGTTTGCACTCACGTAGTGTCGCAAGTACACCTCCAACAAGGCATTCACCCGCTCCATCTGTCTGTCGCTTTGAGGATGAAAGGCCGCCGAGAAGTTCAAGTTTGAGCCCATGATCTTGAACAACTCTCGCCAAAATCTGCCCGTGAAGCGCCCATCTCTGTCGCTCACAATGTTGCTAGGAACGCCCCAATACTTGACTACGTTCTTGAAGAATAGACGTGCCGCATCCTCTGCCGTCAAGTCTTTTGGCCCAGGAATGAACACTCCATACTTCGAGAATCTGTCCACCACAACCATGATGCAACCGCATCCATCGACTTTGGGAAGTCCGATGATGAAGTCCATGCTTACACTCTCCCATGGTCGTTGAGGCGTGGGCAAGGGCTCTAGCAAGCCTGCCGGGCTTCTCTGCTCCATCTTGTCTTGTTGGCACACAAGACAAGTCTTCACATACATCTCCACGTCGTCTCCCATACACGGCCAGAAGTATGCTTCTTCGATGACCGCTTGCGTTCTCTCGATGCCGGGATGGCCCGCCCACTTGGAATCATGGCACTCCTTCATGATCTCCTTCCTCAAGTTGGCCCATCTTGGCACGAACACCCGCTCTCCCTTGGTCACGATGAGCCCATCCTTCATCCAAAATCGTCGAGTTTTACCTTGCTCGATGTACTCCGCTACGGTTTTGGCGAAGGGGTCATGGCCAAGGCCTTCAACGATCCGCTCCTTCAAAGGAAACGTGGGCTGGCTAATGCTTGCGGCTGCACTCTTGCGGCTAAGAGCATCGGCAACGGAATTCGCCTTGCCTGGATTGTACTCCATAACAAAGTCGAACTCAGCCAAAAAGTCTTGCCACCTCGCTTGCTTAGGGGTGAGCTTCTTCTGCGTCAGAAAGTAGCTCGTTGCCACGTTGTCCGTCCTCACTACGAACTTTGACCCCAACAAGTAGTGCCTCCATGTGCGCAAGCAATGAACCACGACCGTCATCTCCTTCTCTTGAACGGTGTATCGCCTCTCCGTCTCGCTGAGCTTCCGACTCTCGAAGGCAATGGGATGCCCATCTTGCATCAACACGCCCCCAATTGCGAAGTCGGATGCATCAGTCTGCACTTCGTAAGCCAACGTCGGGTTGGGGAGCACGAGCACGGGCTCCTTCATCACCGCTGCTTTCAAGGCCTCGAATGCTTCTTGGCACCTTTCCGACCAATCCCACGACTTGTTCTTCTTCAAGAGATCCGTCAAGGGTGCTACAATGTTGGAGTAACCCTTGAGAAACCTCTGATAGTAGTTGGCAAGGCCGAGGAATGACCTCAACTCTGGCACCTTCGTCGGCGGCTCCCATTCTTGGATTGCCTGCACCTTCGCTCCATCAATATTCAACTTGCCTCCACCAATGATGTGCCCCAAGAATGGAACCTCCATGGCGGCAAATGTGCACTTCTCCCTCTTGACGTACAACTCGTTGTCGCGAAGGACTTGGAAGACTTGGCGTAGATGCTCGGCATGCTCGTCGAGTGTTTTGCTATACACGACGATGTCATCCAAGTAGACCACGACAAACCGGTCCAAGAATGGCTCGAACACTTGATTCATCAAAGTGCAAAACGTGGCTGGTGCGTTGGTGAGACCGAATGGCATCACCAGAAACTCGTAAGAGCCATACCTCGTCACACAAGCTGTCTTTGGCTCGTCGCCCTCTGCTATCCGCACTTGATAGTAGCCCGAACGAAGATCTAGCTTGGTGAACCACATCGCATCTCCAAGCTGGTCGAACAAGTCGGCAATGTGGGGAATTCGCCACTTGTTCTTCACCGTCAACTTGTTGATGGCTCTATAGTCGATGCACATCCTCAACGACCCTTCCTTCTTCTTTTGGAACAGCACCGGTGCTCCAAAAGGTGACTTCGATGGCCGCATGTAGCCTGCATCCACCAAGTCCTTGAGTTGCCTCCGCAATTCTTCTAACTCCGGTGGTGACATGCGGTATGGTGCTCGCGAAGGGGGCTTCGCTCCTGGCTCCAACTCGATCTTGTGGTCCACCTCTCTTCTTGGTGGCAGCTTCTTGGGCAACTCCGATGGCATCACGTCATCGAACTCTTCGAGGACGCCTTCGATGATGGGAGTTGGGATTCCCGTTGAGCCTCCTTCTTCCTCCATTTTCAAGGACACAAGAAAGGTTGGTTCATTCTTCTTGAACCCCTTCACTACCTGCATAGCCGATAGAGCACTATGGGGGCCATCTTCTCTCAAGAGATGGACCGCATGAAACTCCCCTTCCTTCTCCAAGCACATTGTGTTGGAGTTTGGCTTCAAGAGCACTCCCTCCTTGTCGAGGAAGTTGATGCCGAGGATGACTAGGTGATCGTCCATGGTGACGACAGAAAAGTCGATGAGGCCTTCCCACTCGCCAAGCTTCATTGGTACGTTGTGAGCAACTCCATGGATCGGGATGGACTCCGAATTGATCGTCTTGAGCCTCCCTTGCCCCTTCTCGTAGGCAATACCCAACCGTTTTGCCTCCTCGATGCGGAGGAAGTTGTCCGTGGCACCGGTATCCACCAAGGCTTTTGACTCGCCTTGCATGAATTGCGCCAGAACATAGCACCTCCCACGCTTGCTCTTCTTGACGTCGGTCTTCACCGTGCCAAGCTTGCGGATTGAGCCAATCTTGGCCTCCGCCGCCTTGGGCTCCTCATCTTGAGCTTCCATGGCCGCCAATCTCGCCTTCATTGGGCAATCTCGCACTCGATGTGGCCCGTCGCAAAGGAAACAAGACATGGTTT